TTGCAAAGGGGAGGCCAGGGAGTAGGGGAAGGAGTGTGAGCAAGTGCTACTCCCAAGGATCTTCTCCAGTCCTTTCCTTATTCTCAACTGCTGTTTCTGCCCAGTCCTGGAAGTCTTGGCTTTGTCACATTAAATAAAGTGTTTGTTTGAGTAACTCTTTGGTTCATGTATTGTAATTGATTTTCAGTCACTTAGGATGATTAATGAAAACAGGTATTTATTTAATATGAAAGACAACACATGGTGATACCAGCTGAAATACTGGAAAGTCCCTGAGTAATCCTACCGCATTTTTTTTTCCTTAAAGATGTAACTAATGCAATTAAACCACTTTTTGTTTTGAGAAGTTGCTGCATGTTGAGTAGCATGAACATCCTGGTCATGCTTCAGGCAGCACTCTGTCCGTTTTCTTTCTTCTCTAGAGATTACTTCACTTCCTATGCAGTTACTACACACACAGGGAAAACCCAGGAACATACAAAGGCAGATATTTTCCATGAAACCTGGTCAGGAAATGGCTTTTAATTGTATTGTGAATAGGCCAAAGGGCACAGAAAGGAAGGACCTCGCTTTTGGGTTCCTTCAGACTGCTGAAAACTGTGAATAAAGTTCTGAGTCAACCACAAATGTTCTGCTTGAGGCGCAGGGACTTTGCTGAAGCAGTGCTCAGCGTTGCCATAAATGAATTTTAGAAGTCCGGCTGCAAGGGTAGAGCATTAAATGCATAGCGCTAGGATCCAGAGCAGCTAGCAAGATGAACAAAGGGAAATTAAGCCAGCTAACAGAAGAAACAGAAGAGAGAGAAAGAAGTGATAGCGATGGTTTTAGATGTGTTGTATAACTCTGTACTGCTGGAGAACTTGCTTGTGCTGCTGGGAGATCCACGTGCCAGGTCCTCTCGAGACAGAACTCGAAGGTGCTTCTCCTGCCTCTAAGCCAGAGGTTTCATCAACACTGCAGGCAGAAAAAAATATTCAGCAGCATCGGTGTTGCAACTGTACTTCTCTGCAGCAAGAATCACGGGCCGCACGGAAAACACAGGCACAGGGATCATCATCTCCTGCGCTGCTCATCCTTGTTCTCAGAAGACTTTGTGCAACCTTATGACTAATTAAGGCTCCTTTGTCACCGCACTCACACGGTGACCTTTGTAACACCTGCCCAGTAGAGGACTGATTCAGAAAATATTCTTCACCCCATGGCCAGCACTCCTAGAAACAAATGAATGCAATTTCTGTTCTTGTTAACAGTGGTAAATATCAAGCATAAGCAGCCTCAGGAAGCGGGGCAGAGACAACCACACGAATTTCTGTGAGCCTTTCCTGAGAAAAAGGGCTCATCAAAATGAGTTAGGCTTTCAGAATATTAACTAAACAAAAGAGAATGAGTATCTTTGTCAAGGGCTGACCCATACACTCCTGAAGCTCATCAGGAAGATAGGTACTAAACATATTGCATCTCTATTTACAGCTGTTTCTTCCATATCTTTCACATCAAAGTCATTCAGTGTGACAGCTGGCAAACTTAAAATCTTGGGGTTATGTTGCTATCTAATTAAGAAATAGTTAGGGGGAAAAGACAAATATTTATGGTATTTAAAACTGTAAGTAAGTTCTCTGTTTGGCCCTCTCAAGTCAGTCAAGTTGCCACAGGTCAGGTTCACAGTAGAGACTGTCTCACCACCCAAATACAGATGACACTAAAGACCCAGACTGCCAGACAAAGACACAAAGAAGCCAAGGTATTTTCCCTTTGCAGACCTGCACACAGGGTCAGAGAAGTGTAAGAAAATAAGAGGAAGAATTTAAAAAAAATAAAAACACAACAGGAGTTGTCACATTCACTGACTCAGCTGCCCAGCTATTCCTAAGTTATCTTCTACATGTGTGGATCCAAAATTCCAGGCATGAGGCAAGATTTGTAAAGATACCGCTGAGCAATCATTGAGGGAGATGTGGACAGAAGAAATTCCCCACTGCTCCTGGGAGCATAAGGAAATGTAAAGTTCCAGGTCACGAGTCAGGGAAAGCTGGGGAGAAGCATGCAGAAAATGATCTGAGAAACTCCAATTTTTTCACTCAGGTACCTCAAGCTCTCTCTTGCCCTTTGCTCTGTCATGGCATAACTGCTGCGGAAGCCTCAGTTAGTGGAATTAGCGAATTTTATGCCTGCAGTAACAGCTACAGATCGATAGCAGATCTAGCATGTACTAGTTTGCTGTGTGATTTGGACTGGGACTTCTGTACCACACATCACTGTCAAAAGTTGGACGCAGGATAGTCTGCATTCCAGTGCATCATATATCACTGACAAGCCCATCATTTCTCAGAAAGCTTATCACTTGGTAGTGACAAGAAAGAAGAAATTCACGAAAAGTGAAGCTTCTCAATAACTCTATTGATGACCCTTATAACAAAGGAAGTGTTTATTCAGCTGGAGGCTACCAGATATTGTTTATGATACTCATATTTAAGGCTTAGGAATTATTCTGTTCATTCAGAGACTGTATGCATTAAAAATTCTGCAGCTTTTAATTCACCTGCCTCGTGTCTCCAAAACTAGGTCCTTGTAAATAAACTGAAACAGCAGCTCCTCTCTTTCATCCAAATCACCAGAGTTTACAGTAAAACATGTGACCTTTTCATTTGTGGTTCATCTTTTCTGACTTCTCTCTGTAACCACAGAAGGAATTTTATCTTTGTTGACTGTAGGTTTTTTGCAGGCCAAGTCTTCCACTCACCACCACTTGAATTACAAGTCAAAACATGGGCTCCAGAACTCTGTTCAGTTGTTCCCACTGCTCCAGATCAAGATATGTTATGCTGTAATCATTACGGCCTCTGTGATAGACATAAGACAACCAAACCCTTTCTTTATGTTGGAGAAGTAACACACAAGAGCCACAAACATCTCATCTGTCTAGAACAAGAAAGCAGAAATAATGCTTCCTTAAAACACCACAGGCAGTAGGTTTTATGCAAAGCAGACAAAGGATAACACCTTAATTGCATCTACAGTACAGAAGCAGTAATTTTATCTTTGAGTTAATGAAAATCATTAATGAAATCAAAGACAAAGAACAGTTTCTTGGGTTTATTTGGAAAAGAGGTCTACGCTCCTCAAGCAATGGAATTCATACTTCTGTATTTTCCTTGCATGCTGTTCAGAAGACACTTCCATTGATACTCTAGTTTGCACTTCTGTGAATGGTTTGCTGGGCATGGAAATAGTGTGTTAGGGGGAAATAAAAAGTCCAGAGATAGGAATGAACAACCCAGTCTACGCTGCTGTCAGGCAACAGGACACCATTTTGTAAAAAGAGATCACCTGGAGATGTGATAAAGGTCTATAGAATTATGAAGGAGATGGAAATTTGGGATAAGGATCAATATCTAACACTTGTCTTCCCATAAAAGAATCAGGAGACATCAAATGAAACCAGGCTCAGAGAGGGAGACAACCAGGGTTAAGTCTCAAACACACCTGACCTTTTCTTACGCATCCCTCGACATCTGCTGATGGCCGTGGTTGCAGAGAGGACCCTCACTGGGCAGACCTCGGGTTGGACGTCGCAGGGCTGTGAACAGGTGCTTGTGTTCTCACGTTAGCTAATCCAGCCATGTTCACCGCAAGCTGAAAGCTTACAGGAAATACAGGTGCTTAATTCCAGCTCTACCCATCTTACGAGGCTACTGTTCCAAACACATCCTCTGCAGCTGTTTGTAAACTTGATTGTGTGCAGCTACGGACACGGATACAGACACTCGTATGGAGTGGGATCCAGTCTGGCATACATAATCTGTGTCCTTCATGCCGGGTCAGAGAACAACAAACCTGTGTTCAGTCATATCAGGTCCTGTGCTTTGTTCCTTTGATTGCCCCCATGACCTGGCAGAAGAACAATAATGGGATTCCTTAATGTTTAACCCCAAAAAAGCCCACTTATGTCATAGTATTATTTGCTGTTGTTAATAAAACTGGCAGTGCCTTTCTGACTTTATCTGAATAATCCTACTTCATGAACCCATCTTCACTTTTTCTTTAATTTTATCATAATCAGAAGAAATCTTTTCTTTACAGGGTCAAATTAAAATTTGCAAAAGCGCCTCAATTAATTTCAGAAGCAGAATCCTGCAACAGCTTTAGAATTTCCTCTGCCCAGATTCAAAGCAACAAACAGTTACGAAGTTTTTGCTTCAGAAGAATCAGTCATCATCAAAAAAATCCACCTGATTAAGCAAAGCAATTCATCATATCATAATAAAATATTCCGTATGTTCTCAATAGTACGACAAAGGCAGTCTGGATTCTGTTGCTTATTTCAGTGATGCTAGGTTTTAATATATTAAAAAGTACTGTAAGTCTTTCTGCTGAGGTTATCTCAGCATATAAAGAAAGATTGTTGAAAATGTAATTGCCTATTAGGGCAAGGGGAGCTCATTAAATTCCAGTTCTCATACCTATCATTTCTACAAAGTATTAATTCCTACTTCTATGATGTCTTAAATGAAAAAAATCAAAGCCCAAAGACACACAGATGCAAAATCACAGATCATATATATGGCTTTCACCAGAATTGGAAAGTCATGGAGAGTAACGTAATGATAAAAGCAAAAGTACGAAGGTACAGAAGAAAATAGCCACAAGAAATAGAGTATTTCAAAAAGCCTGCAGATTCCACAAAGCGAAGTACACAGCAATTTTGTACATATTCTCTGCCTTTATATTTTTTTAATTAACAAAGTGTTTTCTGTTCATGAAAAGCGATTTCCTGGTGACCTAGGGAAAGGGGCTTACCCGCTCACCTGTGACTCATCTCACAGCAGCATCTCACGGGTTCGGAGTTTCCACTGGTGTGATGCCGGAGCGCGCCGGGGGCCAGGGCAGTATATAAGCACAGCAGGTCCCCAGCACGGGCACAGGCCACCCTTGGGGCTGCCGGGGCTCACCGCACCACAGAGCCAGACCCAGGAGACAGGAGGAACAAACACTCTCGCATCATGACGGGCAAGGCTGTGGCTGCTGTCCTGACTCTTCTCCTCATCTCAGCGCTTGGAACAAAAGGTAAAGAAATCCTTCCTACAGCTCGCCTAACTAATTGCTAGTGTAAAGGTTGAAGGGGGAGACACTACGCTGTCTTACAAGCACAGCAGATAACTCTTCTGATACTGTCAGCAAAACACATGTTCTGCTCCCTGTGGAAACCCTGAAACAGCCCACCTTTTTACTGTCTTCTTGTTTTACAGGTAAAGCCCTGCCACGCTCAGCAATTGAACTCCGGTGCCAGTGCGTCGGCACCCATTCCAAGTTCATCCATCCCAAGTTCATTCAAAACGTCAACCTCATCCCCAGTGGACCTCACTGCGAGAACGTTGAAGTCATGTAAGTGCTTTCGCAAAACCCTCCCGATTGCGTAACAAGAGGGAAACAGCTTTTACATGAAGGCTGATGTAAGCGTTCTCCTTACGATGTACCGAGCCAGCAGGCATGGCTGCTCGGAACGCAGATCAGCAACGCTCGCTGCTCTTACAAACTACACGCTGCGTGTTATAAATTGCGTATTGTCGTCACCAACCTCTATTTTTCAAACACCCTGTGCAGTATTTCGACCTAAACTCTCACTCATCAGACAGCAAATAGCTTTCTCAAGCTCTGAATTCCACCAGCGTATGAGCAGATAATTAAATGCACGGAGCCACGCTGAGCAAGTGATCGAAACGTTTGTCTTAATGGCTAGTCAAAAGAACGATCACACTCAAGCAGAAATTAAAAAACTACCGTTAGCATACAAATCATATAATTCAGTCACAACTCCAGAACTTTTACGGTAACAAATTTCCTGCGGGCTGGGCAGTGCGGTTTCTGAATCAAGATGGAAAGATTTAGCCCTTCAGCGAGACACCATCACAAATTTAAAGCAAGCCGGGGGAAAAAAAAGAAGCAATTTTCACAAGAGTGAGAGTCCTGCACATCATGTAATGCATTCAAACAAACAGATACGAGAAGATCCTGCACATGATGTAATGCATTCAAACAAACAGATACGAGAAGATATGAAACCATTTAAAAAAACCCAAACCTTTATGTTAGGCTACAGCCTCAACTGATACAGCTTAAAGTAAAGGAGAACCTGTCCGTGTACGCCTAGAACAGTGTTACGAGAGAAAAGGGAAACTGCCTCAGAATTCACTAAGCAGACCTTTTCCCTTCCTCTTCCCCCGCTGCAGAGCTACCCTGACCGACGGCAGAGAGGTGTGCCTGGAGCCCACTGCTCCCTGGGTGAAGCTGATCATCAAGGCCATCCTGGACAAGTGAGTCGCCCACTCCCAGCGAGCACAGCTTCCCCAGACGGCCTCTGAAACCAGCCAGCCAACCTGCACAGCACAAAGGGCGCAAAAACTCCGTCTCCTCAGGCGACCGCTGCCGCTGGTGTTCACTAACTGGGGCAGACACTGTGATTGCTTTGAGCTTTAATTGTGGCATTAGGTTCAGCCCTTTACTGTGCCACACCCCCACGTGACTCCTCGCTACACCTCTCGTCAGGCAGGAGCACGATGGAAACCTGCAGCCCAAGAGCTCGGCGAATCCAGGCTTCCACCGAGGGGTTTGCTCTTGCCTGCGGTGCTAGAAAGCAGCACTCAGTTCTTCAGAACTGATGGCATTTAGATGATGGGGGGAAAAGTCAGGCCCAAGAGGTGCTGAGGGACGCCGGAGCGATGGAAGCCCACAGTGGCTGAGTACCTGGGGAAAGGCACCAGTGTCCCTCGGGTGCAGCGACAGCTCTTCAGGAGCGTGGACATGGAAGCACAAACCCTCAGTGGTGGCCTTCATCTGATGCCAGCGAGCGACACCTGTTCCACGCACGAGTTCTCATTGTCTCCTTTTGCATTTTCTTTCTTTTTAGGGCAAACGCCAAGCCTGAGGCAGTGTCCTAAGATGAAGAAGAACAAAGTCCTAACTCTTCCAGCAAGGCAACAATGGGAGAGATGCTCATCCGGCTTATGGCAGCTCTCCTCCTCTTGCCACCTGCATTCACACTTTTGCTAGCTTCTAGAGAGTATGGATTCCCTGGTTTTTGTAGTTAGTTGACAACAGCACTTTAAGTCTTTTAAAGAGGTCTAATCATGTAAGAGAGAAACCACTGACACCAGAAAAAGCAGGCAGAAGAATGGCTTGTGCAAGGATACGGAGACGGCTCTGCCATGATTTCTGCTGAGCCCAGCTGGATCAGTGCAGGGCACTCTCAGCAGAGCTTTCACTAAACGACACCTTCCCTTTTGGCTAGCAGTTCAGGGAAAGACCACTGACTGCTTCTCTCCAGGAAAGCGTGGATAGGTAGCATCAGTGGGGTCACTGCTACTCAGGGTGGGCTTGCAGGATTAGGATACCAAAATTCTGAGACATCAGGTTTTGTACCATCATTTTCAAGATATTATTTATTGTGAATTAGTGTTGTGAAGGTATAAACACATATTTTAATGTCATCTCTTGGTTAGAAAAAAGCACTTTATTTATTTATATATTTATTTTTATTTACTTACTTTTGCATAAGAATGTAGTTGGTCTTCAATATTTATTTATTTAATTAATTATTTTTGGGAAATATTTATGTTTGTGTACCTAATAAATGCTTGTTGAAATGTTTTCGCTTTGATATTGTGTGTTATTCATTTCCTTATTGAAATACAGAACTGAAAAAGAGGATGTATTTTCTTTCATTTTGTATCACATAATGGGTTCTCAGAAGGACGAGTGGTGGCTGAGTTGTGGGGACAGGCAATTACAACATCAAATTCTTGCCGCTGGTGAGTGGAGATGGTTTCCAATAGGAGGAATGATGAAAATTATCTGCTTTCTTCCTCTTTGCTTGGCAGACTCGGTGTTTTCAGAGGTCTGGGTTATCAAATTCACAGATAGAAAGTAACGACCAAATAATGGCTAGTCACAGAAATTCCAAAGCCATAGCAGTGGTGCTGCTCAGAGAGCACGTCGGCTGAGAGTATGGCACCGAACAAGGTTTTTCGTTAACTCAAATGAGCAGGGAAACTTGATGAACATTAAGGAAGTCACTGAGCACCCTCCTTCATTCCAGCGAGGAGGGAGGACTATATCAGGAGAAATCCTAAGAAACAGAGCTATAAGGAAGAAATTCTTTACAATGAGGGTTGTGAAACACTGGAACGGGTTGCCCAGAGAGGTGGTGGAGGCCCCATCCCTGGGAACATTCAAGACCAGGTTGGACAGGGCTCTGAGCAACCTGATCTCGTTAGCGGTGTCCCTGCTCGCTGTGGGGGGGTTGGACTGGATGACCTCTAGGGGTCCCTTCCGACCCAAAACTTTCTATGATTCTATGATATGGCCACACGTCTGCCCGAGCCACAGCAATTTCCAGGGGAATGGCTGCACGACCAGCAGCAAACACCTGAGGAAACGGGAAAGCTGAGCAGATGTTTCGATAGTTGGTTTGCTTCGGTCTTTTTCCAGTAAGGAGCCACTCCGTATTCTGCACAAACAGCTCATGTTTGCTCATGGTGCAAGATGAAAAGGGAGTTTCTGGCACTGTTTGAGCAAGCTCTTGTGCAAGATGACAACCATTCCAGCCACACTTTGCTCCCTGTCCCCATCTCTGCCCCTGTCCCACAGCACTGCATCGTGCAGCCTGCTCGAGCCACAGCATGTGAAGGAGACGAAGTTTCTCAAGGGCACAGGTGTTGTTCAGACTTGTCTTACGACACTAAGCCCTCTTGTCTTCTTAGTGATTTGTACAAGCCGGCTTCTTTCAGCAAGCTAATTTGGAGGCAAGCATGTCAGAAATACCAGCCAAGAACGGGGAGGGGTGGGGAAGAGCCGCTTTATATGCGTGCCCATAAAAGTCTGCGTGTATCCTAAAGGACTGGCACCAGTTTCAGTGCTGTACAGGTACTTACAGTAAGCGTGTAACCTTTGTCACCAGCAAAATCCCAGTCAAGTTACTGGGAGCTGAATCACGGCCAAGGAAGGGCTCTTCTCATAAATTCTCCTGCCCAAAACATCAACAACGGCTGTGCTCTCAGGAGCCCAGGCAGGGCATCTGCACAGCGGCTGAACCGCATCCCTGCTTTCTCCACAGGTTATCGCTCAGCGGTGAGAAATGATTCAGAGGCTGGCTAGAAATGATAAAATAATGCGTTTCTGTTCTGTGTGCACGCACAGGATACCTTTCTTAGGAACGCTACAACAACCTCATGCTTCCAAAAAGGCGTTTCGGTGCTCTCAGGGGCTGCTGAGAGAAGCACCGCAGCTCTGCTGGCTGGATGCCTCCCTTTGCCAAGCACGGGCTGTTCTTCCGTGTTGTTTCTGCTTTGCTAACACTGTCTCTACAAAGCTGAACTCAGACTCCATGAAATTCCTGATTCTCCTGGCAAAATATTTCTACATGGAGACATTTAACAATTAAAGCAGTCACAAACTAGTTAACAATCTTAGCTAACATGTGCAAAGTGTTGTCTGCTCCCCGCTGAGCAAAAGCCAGACACTGCGTAAGTCCAGGATAAACTGCCATCTCCCCTACATACCAAGGCTCTCATTTGGCAGGCTCCTTCTTTTCAAAGCCCAATTGCTTTCTTAATTTCAGTAATTAATTTCTTAATTTCAGTACTGAAATTCACATGGACAATGTATTTTATCAGATCACAATTTGGTCCGGTTTCTCTCCTTGACACCACTTTTTTTCACCTCACAAAAACAGGAATATCCAATATCCCAATGAGCAAACAACATACACCCTAGAAATGGATTGCTGAGGAATACTCACGAGATTTCACCTATGATATGTGTCTATCTTCTGCTTTAAACACCTGTGATTACTCTAGATGCACGAGGTTAGAGAGAAAACCAAGTAACTTCCTAAGCGCCTATTGTAATCACGTTATTACAGCTTTTGCTGTCAGATACTTTCTCTTGTCATATTCTGAACAAATGACATTTTCAGAAGAGCTGAAGTGACTTCGGTGGCAATGCCCCGGTCATTTTAAGCTCATCGTTTCCTGTTCAACGGCTAGACAAGCCTTTCCGTACAGAATTGAGCATCTAAATCGCTTTAGCCAAACTGAAAATGGCAAACTCCATTCAGAGAACAACAGGAGCTGCTTATGTCTCGCCTTCATAAGACACTGGTGAAATAACTCCATTGAAGTCATACCAAAATATAGACTGGGATGAAAAGTTCCTGTAATTATATTGGGTAAAAGTTTCTGCACACGGCATTTAAACTCAGTGCAATGAGCTGAACAGAAATTCCACATTCAGAGGGGAGGGAACAAAAGTCTCTTTGTCTTGGGTTGTGGGGATGCCTGGGAACGCTGTACTGACCTCCAAGTGCGAGCTCAGCGTTGTTGCTTAAAACTAATATCCCACGAAGAAGCGCAAACAGAAAGTGATGGATAATAATCACAACTTACAGAAATCATTTAAACCGTACAGCAGCAGAAGTACGTTTGGGAATTGTGAAGCGCCACGGAATGGACTGCGCAGGGATTCGGAGTTCTCGGGCAGCCCTCTCCCGCCTTCGGAACCCGCGTGGGCAGCGCGCCGACGCCGCGCCGGAGCACGCTTGCTCGGCAGGCAGGCTGGGGGACAGCACCTCCCGACACAAACCCGACGACAAAAACAGAGCCAGCGCAGGGCGGCTGCAGGAAGGAACCTTCCGCACAGCGACGGACGGCAAATCTGCTGCTGGTGATCTGGTTCTCTGCCTGGTCTAATGGCGGGGTCAGAAGGTGAGAAAACCATCTCTCAAAACTCACATAACCAGAGAATAAATACACATATGCAAATGCAAGTGGGCTTATGCTATGTTAATGTTGACTTTTTGCAAGAGATGTGCATCTTCGATAAACTGTCCTTCAGAAGTAAGAAGTATCACTTGTATTTGCATCTGTTAGGATGCTGTGGCTGTTTCCAGGGGTAAAACGTGCTCCTGTCAGGACACCAGTTTATTCCTGTGCCATAATATATGCCTTCCCCAGATTTTAAAAAATGTTCAAATTAAGACAGGGTGTTTTTTCTAAATGTATCCATACATCTCTTCTTGTACAAATGACAGCTTTCCCCTATTTCTACTCTTATTCTCAGTGAGCAGGTTGATGGTAGTGCTTCTTCAAAGCAAGAATGATGCAATTTGCAGAACAGAATAAAGCATATGAGCACATGCTCGTGGCAGAAACTAGCAAACAGTATGTGCACATAGCTAATGACGTTAACTTACTTTACTCAAGTGATGCAATTTAGATGTAGAATCTGGCCAGGCACAAATGCACTATGAAAACATTCTAAGCATTTTCACTCCGAGATACAAGTTTACCTTTAAATGCATCTGCTGCACACTGGCAGCTCTGAAAACGTAACTGCTGCTGTTGTGCAGATGCCGTTCATTTTATCTGTGAGTCTTCAGCAAATCGAGGGTCTGAGTAAGAAGAATAAGGCTGACAGGAGGGAATACTCTTTGCTTCATCGCAGCAAACAAGGAGATTGTTCATTTACCTGTACATAACTTCTTTTTGTTCAACAGGTTCAACTGGCGAAGACAGAGGAAAAAGGCTTCCAACGCCTGAGCATAAGCCCTCACTCCAAGTTCATCCCTCCCAAGGCTACTCAGAACGTGAGATTACGCCAAAGAGGATCTCGCTGCAAAAATGTGGAAACCATGTGAGCACTTTTGCAAAATATCATCTTGCTTTCAATAGGAGGAAGTGACTCGGCATTTCACACCCTAGTTACTTATTTACTTTGGGCGAAATTATACATCGCTGGCAAAGCCTCCTAGACACCAAGTATAATGCATGAGGCCTTCCACCCAAAGGAACGGGCTCGCTTCCGCCCAACGTTACAAGCCACTTCCAGACAGTATTTAAATGTCTCTTAATTATGACCAACATCAGCACAGAGAATTAGATCC